AGTAGATACATTAATGAAAATGTTGTTTTTTCCTTTACAAAAATTCAAACTTTTTCTCGGTTTATGCGTGTCATCTTTGCGCAGGGGTCATGCTGATCTGTGCGGCGGATTTCTGCCGCACGATTTAAACTATCGCGTGGCTGAAATCGACCGCGCCTAATGGCCCAAACCCCATCCTGACTTATCCTCCAACAGCCTAGCAACACTCAAGTGTGTTTGTCACACACTAGCAGCAAGTGCTTCTGTGTGTGACAGGTGGGAAAAATGATGTGTTTTATAATAGCTGAGGAGGGTTGGACGTCACTCCAACCCATAAGCAAAATTTCGGGCTCACAGTGAGCCATTGATCTAGCGATTCTAGGCAAATGTGGCCGCACGACAACCACACCCTATGTGAAGCCAATTTCTTTATCTGACCCATTTTATTTTTTATTTCTTTTATCTCTGTTGTCTTGGATTTTCACGAGATAGCTGAGATCATGACATTTCCAAAACTATTTTTATTTTATTTTTCTAGTAAGGGGTTGGAGAGATACAACCCCTTTCAGTTTGATGCATCTGTTCCCTTTTCCCAGAGCAGATATATCAATGAAAAGGTTGTACTTAGCCTTTTCCTTTATAACCCCTATATTCAGGCTCCCTCTAAAAACGGATGTCTGATAGTTACCTCTGGCAGTTTCAGCCAGAGGTAGCACCTTATGAGGACAAGTGTCCTCACGAGAATGCAGTAAAAGAAAGAAAATAAACAAAAGAAAAAAAAAAACTAAATCGAACTGCATGCGCCTGGCCCTTACCTCAACCAAGTTCATGTTGTTGCATGCAACAATCCCCTTCTTTACTTTTCTTTGCCCTCTACTAAAAATGAGGAAGGTCGATGTCAGATTGGGAGAGGTATGAAAACAACTCGTGAAAACTCACGAGTTCAAATCTTGACAAGCATAAAGCGGGGTGCAAAAAGTATCCCGACTTTGATGATTTTTTAAATAAAACCGCGGCTGATAAAAAAATCTTATGTCCTGGCATATACGATTTTCGATGTCGCTGTACTAAGGAAGACGTTGTGCGATCTTGTAGCATATTGGCCTTGTCGAACACGTCCGGGTAATTACCCCACCAACATCTCACGTTCACGAGTATTCCGTTCAGCTGGGCACTGCGTAGCACGGTGAACGTGTTCAAGCCCCTCCACGTTCACGCGAACATATTCGCACGTTCCCGCGAACAGCTCACGAATATGTTTAGGCGAACATAATTTTTTCTCGTAAAAAATAATAATAATAATTTTATTTTCGGTTTTTGATTTTTAACTCGAGATAAGCTACGAATTGGAACATGACTCCAGGGAAAAGTTTCTTCTATTACTATTTTACATAAGATATATTTTTTTCAGATTTTTCTGATAAATATATATATGTTTTTTAATATTTTTTATGTTCGCGTTTGGAGCGTTTTGTGCGCTTGTTAGCGTTCGGGCGAACATATTCGCGTAGGCCTCCGAACGCGAACATGGTGCTACGTAGGCTGGGCATAAATTTTTATGTAGATAAAATATTTTTTTCTCCCTATTTCTACGGTGCGCCGTCTCACAACCAATTTCGATGGGCTTTCAATTCAATGAAAGCCTAGCCAACGTCACTCCCATTGCGCAATGTGGCTTAAAGCATCCTACTCACCCAATTGGGACCAACTCGATGGGGACCGCAACATGTTGGGAAAGAGCGGAAAAGGCTCGCGAGCTATTCGGTCTGTGGTGAAGTTCATGGATCCCACCGAAATAAACATAAGGGCAAGTGGTAACCAATCCACTTTTGTCAACGGTAACGAACTCGGACGCTGGGGGTTTGCACAGGAGAAAGCGTACAGACTGTCTGCAGGCAGCAGATCCAAGATGTGGGGACACCTAAGTATCCCAAGTTCGCAATTGGTTGGAATTCGGGCACACGTGGCGTTGGTGCCGAGCTACCTATAAACGAAAATTCAAGGCGGATAAAAATTATTTACGCCACCTAGAGGCCGAGTGGCCGAGAGGCCGAGAGGCCGAAACAGAAACGGTACCGGTAGTCCTACCAGTAGGGTCTAGGTCGAGTCTAGGCTAGGGTAGCTGTAGATAGGTTGGCGACATCGGTTCACGGCTTTTGCCAGTTGGTACCGTGTACGTCGCTGCTGTGCAACGCGTGAACTGGAAGTGGTGACAGCTTCAGCGTTGGAGGAGATGGCCATAGCTGGACCTGCGGAGCGTCAGCCATAGCTGGGACTGACGCTGTACTCTGACAGCACGCGGGGCTGTTCAGAGTTCCGAGCTATCTGGAGTCTGCTAGGAGGCGAGAGAGCTGGTGCCCTGCTGGACCCTCCTCCAAAGTAGGGTTGCAGGGAGTGTGGCACTGCAGCTATAGCTGCAGCTTCTTCCTCAGAGATCATCTTGTCAGGAGAGGTGGCGCTGCTGCAGACTTCCATCAGGGAAGTCATTCGGCACTTCATCATCATCAGACACTGTGGCGCTGGTCTTCTTCTTCATCCTCTGAGAGGCGCTTGGCCTTAGAGGCCTGTTTCAGGGTGGCCCTTCCCTCTGGAGGCAGTATCTGGGTGGCACTTGATGTTTCAGGGACTCAGGGGGTTAGATAGCGGTTCTTCAGGGTTGGGGAGTGAAGCGCTACTCAATTCTGAGTAGCGCACCATGGTTCTGGGGTTTTTCTGACAATTCGAGACTCTGAGTATAATAAACAGTGTTAATACTGGGTTCAGACTATAATTGTTTCGTTATTGCTCGGATGTGATCTACTTGGCTTTCCTTTGTGGCTGGTTGTGAGGATTCTGTGGAGCGAAGGGCACTCTCAGTGCTCTCTGTCATATCGAATGGTCAAGTCTTCCACTGTGTTCATTTCCCTCTGTGCGGTGTGATTCTCCCATCCTCTCCCCTTCCTTCTGTGTATGTGTGGGCATACCTGGAAGTCTATGTGAGCGAGTGTTGGTCTTCAGACAACAAACAACCAGGTTCATAATATCTGTTCCGCATATGTTCAACAGTGGACTGGGGCTCTCTCTCTCTCTCTCTCTCTCTCTCTCTCTCTCTCTCTCTCTCTCTCTCTCTCTCTCTCTCT